CGTTATATAATTTGTAGTCAAATGAAAACAAAGATTTTTTTTAATATTGAAATGAAGTATTTCAATGCCACTTGAACTGTATCTTCTCCCTTAGACAAGTTTTAATTGTCTCTAGACTAAATTGTGATTCTTTTGAAGTTCTTCAATGTTGATTGCTGGAATTTCCTTTGTTAAATAGAAGTGGCTTGTTTTAATGTTCATATTTAATCACAGTATTTAAGCACCAAAGATGCATTTCTTAACTTTTAAATCCTTGACTTAAGATTCTTTAGAATTGCTTTTTAACATCAAATATCAATTAAGTAGTTGACACTCTTCTTTATCCTGTTTGGGCATTAGAGAAATGGGTAATGTTTTAGTTCCACACTAAAAAATCTGTTAGAACTTAATTCCATATACGAAATATCAGGCAGTTTTAATAACTGACGTGAGACCACTGATCATGGGGCTATAATGTTAGAGTTTTTCTGTTCTAGTTATTGATCCTGTCTGTCGCTTCAGTTGCCACAAACTGAAACACTCAAAATACATCTTAAAGAATAAAAGGGAGCAGTAATGAACTTATGCATAGCATTTGTTGGATTTGCAGAAATGAATGCTAGCTACAACACTTCCAAAATAGTTTGTGTTTCTTATCTCCCAGTACACGACTGTGGCAGGATTCTATTTTCAGTTTTTCTCTGATACTGCTTTTTCTGAGGGCTGGGACAGCATCTATTTACCTTTATGGAGTCTTTTTCTGAAATGATGAGCTTTGGCATGAATCTTCTCCTACTCAAGTCAGGGAGGAGCCTTTCACTCATTTCCAGTCTTCCTTCCTTCAAAAATCCCATTTTTAATTCTTTTAATATACTTTTTTATGCTGGGGTGGGGTTTGCTTTGCTTTGGTTTGGTTTTTCTGTTTGCTTGTTTAAGACTACACAAATTTTTAGAAATAAAACCCAAAAGGACATCATGAATGGAGTGAAGGACTTCTACAAAAATGTATTTCTACTTAATATTTAACTATTATGATCATAACTACAGGAACGAAAAATAATAGCAGGTAGATGTAAAGAAATGAAGTCTGTGGGAAAACGTGAAGAAAATAATGACTTAGAAATGGATCAAAGTCAGAATTAAAAATCCACATTTTGGGGATTTTCACTGCTGTGAATGGTTATCAGACCCCCAGTTTAATAATCAAAGAATTGTTTAGAAAATGACTGAGGCAATAGTGAGCTGCTAAAAGAAAAACACAGTTCAGCATACAAATTAAATAGCATTTGGGATATGTTCAGAATATCTGTGTGTGTTTCTTTTCTAAGTATGTTATGAGTAAGTAGTAAAATAACATGAACATTTGGTAGTGCTTCCCTTACAAATTTGTGTACTAGCACTGATTTTTGAGGATACAAAACTATTTATCTCACTGCACGAGGTTAAAAGGAAGGAGTTTGTCCTGCAGTTCTTATTCACCTCAAGGCTCTCTTGATTTAACTGTGAGTTTCTCTTGTGTTGAAATTCCAGTCCATCTCTCTTGGAAGGCAAACGCACAGATACTGGCACTATGAAAAGTTGTTATATTACAAAATGAAATGTGAAAACAAATGAAAAGGACTGCAGTCCTTCAGCATAAGAAAAGTAACCGGCAACTTGTTTATGCGCGTATCTTCAAAGCTGTGTTTACTGAAGGGTGCAAGTTTGTGTTACAGTGAGCTGCTGATCTCCTTCCAAACATAGCTGGAGCGAACAGGCCCAACTAGCAAGAACAGATGTTTGTTTTTTTATTTTCCAGATTGAAAGAAATGAGTAGGATTTATAATTGCAATTGGCTGGAAGTGCCATGGGGAGATGGAGACTTAGGTATTGTATGATACTTTGTAATTTATTTGTTTTTAACTTCACCTGTTAATACAGTGAATGTATTTATTCTTTCTTGTTAGTGTTTACAAAGCAATGTAGGCTGCCCTTCCTGGTAAACTGTACACCAGAGAACTTGGAACTAACGTGACTTCTATCTATATATAGTTAGAGATACTTTGTAGTCAGCAAGTCATAGACAACTTCAGTAGGGAATTAATGCATTAACAGTTTCGGAATAGATCATGTTTGCCAAGACTGCTGTTACAGACAACAATGAATGAAAAACTGTCCTTGTTTATGTTCTTATTAATGCTCTCTAAGTGAGAGACATAGCAAGTTTGTAGATTAGCAGGAGGCAGCAATCTAGACAAAAAATTTAAGACACCTTTGATGTTTGTTTATGATGCATATTTATTTTGCACATATTCTTGTTCCTGTGGTATTTAATGATGAATTACTGTTTATTGATAAATCCAGGTGGAATGTGAGGGTTTTTTTTTTCCAAACTGGGTTTGCAGAAAATATTTCTGTAGCATTTTGGTTGTAGATTTTATTTCTAGTAGAGATGATACAGGCCTTTTGTATTTAACGGATTTAGCAGAAACAGCTAGCTGCTGGATGTCTCTACATGAAGACAGGGTTATAAAGTGGGCCTAGGTGCAAAATAGAGCTCACGGTGGTATCTGGCATCACCTGATTGATCTCAAATGTCACCGGAGTAATGACATTAACAGACACTCTTCTGAGCGATCCAAGAGGGAAAGAGGTGAAGGGAAGAAAGGTGGAAAACATATTGCTTTCAGATTGTACCTGCACATTTGTTCTGTTTAGAGTTACAAACAGCTACAAAACTGTATTGTATTTATGGGCATAAAAACCTCATGACATTTGCAATTTTATTAGATGTTTTTCTTTATAACAAAGTGTCCTTTTTTTTTCCTGTTAATTTAGGAGTAGGATAAACTGTCAAGAGAGAAGGTCTCATCTATAGAGACAGGGTGACAAAATTTCAAACGCAGCCTCTAAATACAGCTATCATTATTTTTGAGGAACTCTTTGCAGCTGCCAGCAGAACTTAATGGATCTAATTAAGTGGAATTAAAAAAATTTGAGTGCTGGTTCACATACTACTAAGAAGGAAGACATTGGTCAAAATTCTCATAGTGATTGCACACAACTAGCCTACAGTAGGATTAATATATCTTAGCTTATTGGGACGACAGAGAAAATACTGATGTGTTGTCAAAATTGGGTCACTTTCAGATTTCTGAGGTCAGGTTTTTTAGTATAATACCCTTAAAATCCCAGTCACTTTTGCTTACAGTTTTTTTTAGCTGCTATTCTGACTAACAGTAAGAATTGCAAAATGTTACATTTATTAAACCTTAAGTAAAAAGTATAGGAAATAATGTCAGAGTTTAATGCAAATAATTCTGGTGGTATTGGAAGCTGGATCTTGCCTGTGAAGGACCCTCACAGATACTGGATATTCTGACAGAATAGAAATCTCCATGCATTTTTAAGATCAAGTTTACAAATTTTTAATTTGCTGCATTTTTTAACATCTGTGATCAGCTTTATATGGTTTTAGGATAATTTTAATACTCAGCAGTGCTTTTGCTATATTTTTTGATCTGAATAGCACCCAGTAGTGCTGAGCTCCGCAGTGTAGTTATGTGTTCTGTGAGGAGATACAGTCTTACATCTGAGTAAGTTTTAGTTTCATTCATTAACACCTCTAGGAAAGCTGAGGTTTTATCTCGATTTCCATATTGTGCACTATTTCACGGGCTTTAACTGTGCCCCAATTTCTTTTCAGGTTGAGCAGTTTTAATCTTTTCTGTCATTTGAGGGAGCTGTTTATTGTAACCAAAAGTGTCCTTTCTGAAACAGGCCAGTGGACAGAAGGGGTCCAAAAGGGAATGGAAATGGTGTATTTCTAGTGAATAGTTACCTTACAGCTTAGAGGGATGATTGCCAGTGATTGAGCAATAGCCTTCTCATTTAAAATTCATCACCTTGTCACCAAATTGCAGTAACTGGCTTTGCAACAAGGTCAAACACCTTTATGCATTAGAGGTTTATCTGCTGTGGTTACCAATTCATTTTACTTAGCTCTCTCTACCTTTGTGCAGGGATTTTTGGGGGGATTGATATATCTCACGTGAGTGATTGCATTAGCATTTTTTTAGAGTTCCAGTGATTTTCTTCTCACAGGAATAAATACTGGTAATTCATAATATATTTTGAAGATGGTTCTTCCTTGCACAATCTCTCAAAATCTGATCTGCAACATTCATACAATAAATTGGTATCAGCTGGGTCTGCAACCATGTCTGGCTAGAAGGAACCTGTCAGTGGCCCATCTTCTAGAGGAAAGGACAGGTTCTTCACCAGCAACCATGGGATGACCGTGGGACCTGGGTTGGGAGTTAAAGGCAGATATGTGTGGGTAAGGTGGGGTTGTTGTTGGGTTTCTTACTTCCCTCCTCCCCCCCTTCTTTTTTGTGGGTGATAAGAAAATGAAAATAAATGCCAAATCTTTACATTAAGCATATCTGACTTTTTAGTTCTAATAGCCAATTGGAATGAGGACTTAGACTGATTTTTACTATAGCCATTTTTTAGAGTGATTCTCACTGTACTTCTTTCCTTGCACTTGTGTAGTAGCTGCAGAATAATCTCATACATGAGGATTTCAGTATTGACTTTCATATGCATCAACCTTTTCAGGACTTTTTAGGCAGGTTTATGTCTAGTTTAGGTCCAAATATCAGTTTGCTAAAGTCTATACATTTCTATATGCCAGCTGCAAAAATAAATTATATTAATTTTTTAAAGGAACAAAAATAGAAGTGAGAGATGGGAGACATGGTAGTTGATGGATTTATTAAATCAGATTAATGAAATCAGTATGTAAATATTTTGTCTGCAACACATAATCATTTATTAGAGGTGTTTACAGTTAATAACAGATCAGTTTTTATTGTCTAGAAACTGATCATTTGAATTAGAGTCTCTAAAGGGGAAAAATCATTTCATTGGACAGTTGTCTTTATTCTATGCATTTTTTAATTTGTTTTTTGCTTTGCTTTATGCATTTCAAAATCTTCTTAATTCATATGGTTTACTCAATAAATGTTGTTGTCATATAGGTTCTTGGGCAGATCGCTCACCTCTGCATGAGGCAGCCAGTCAAGGACGTCTTCTTTCTCTAAAGACTTTATTGTCACAGGTGAAGGCCATGTTCTTAAAATTGCTTTCATTTTTAATGTTATTTTGGCTCTCATAGATTTTTAATGCAGACTGAGTATGCTTTCCTTTGGTTTGTTCACTTGAATTTTGCAGAGCAATACACATTTAAGAATTTTTTATGTGATAAGATACAAGTTAAAATTTAAAATATTTTCTCTGTATGTTTTAGAACTTCTCTCTCCCCTAAAAAAAAAACAACAAAACTTACCAAAGCTGTATCTAAATTCATATCAATCTTCCCCTCTTGCATGGTATAAGTTAATGCGGTTCTACTGCGTTAATCCCTAAGGTAAATAGAGCTGGTCAGGAAGATACTTGCTGAGGGGAAGAATCACTGAAACATTCTGGGTTCTGCACAGCTGTGACTTAAAAATATATATTTTTAATGCAAAGGGAGGGACTATGAAACACTATACTTATGCTATTATTGTCATATTATCTACTGCAATGCTAAAAAAATATACTATGTAATACATTTGATAAAAGCCAATAGATACAACTATTAGTTCTTAAGAATCAAACGTCTACTGCAGAAAATTTCAAGGGCTTGGTGATTTTATCAGTCCAAAACATATTTTCCTGGCTAAATTCATGGCTTTAGATAGTTCAGACTTTTAAGTTGGAGAATCACAGAATCACAGGACAGTTTAGACTCAGGGCCTTGTTGAGTTTTAAAGATCGCCATCAGTGGAGATGCAGCAACCTCTCTGAACCCCTGTTCCAGGGTTTCACTGTCCCCACAGTGATTCTTTTTGTGTTTAAGGAAGATTTATTTATTGCAAGTAGAGTTTTAAGCGTAATTATTGTAAACTATTAATTTGAACAAGAACAGCTCTTTTATGATCTTTATATGCCATTCGTGTCCTGTATAGGGGTACAATGTTGACACGCTAACAATTGACCAAGTAACACCACTTCATGAAGCCTGCCTGGGAGATCATGTAGGATGTGCAAGAATCCTTCTTGAAGCAGGAGCAAATGTAAGAAGGTTTGATTTTGTATATGGAGTCCAGTGCTAACCTTGATTTAACTGAGAAGGATATATTCTGTGATTTGTATTTTATTTTAATTGGTATTTCTCTCTGCTCACCCTATTAATTGCATTGATCTCATTTAATTACAATAAACTGCCATCTGAAAGCTAGCAAAGGAAAGTGATGGGCAGACACTAAGACAAGTAACAAACTGGAGAGAATCTGCTAGCAGCATGTCACTAGCATTATTTGTTTGAATTTCATTACATTATTTCCTTTGAAACTATGGAATGCATCCCTCTCCTCTTCTGGTTTCTTCTGGCTTTGAGTGGCTTCCAGAAGATTGCCCTTTTAATCTTTTAGTCTCCAGAATGTCTTTTTGTCACACTGCACTTGTGCTCTTTTACAGTTCTTTGGTCTGAGTACAAAAAGGCACAGGATCTTTTCTGTGCTCCTGACACAGGCTGTCTTTCTGTTATCCCAAAACTTTATGGGACCTTAGAGACCACCTTCCTACAATCTCTGCTGACACTGCAGTTCATATGCATAGTTTACCAAATCTCTGAGCTTTGTGATGGAAATATTTATTGTCCTTAAAATTCAGTTTTGAGACCCATGTAGATTATATTTGTTATTACAGAAGACAAAAAAGAGAAAACATACATAGATGTTTCCAAACCCAATTCCTCTTCACCTCAGCTAGCACGAGGATTCTAAAGACATAAACCTAGAGATCCTATGGACAAAACTATAAGAACAAATATAATTTTTCTATCTGAATTTTTTTAGTACTTTCAATTGTTTTGGTGGGTTTGGGTGTTGTGTGGAAGAGGATATGCCAGAACCCTGGAAGGAGTCCTCTCCTAATACCTGTGCTCCCTCTTTTAGTATGATTAGCCCTCACAAGTCTGCCTAGTTTCTCCCCTCATTCTCCCACACTGTGAATATTTGGTTAACCAGTGAGGTGATGAGGTTGGTATTAAATCAGCAAGCCTGTACTATCAGCTTTGTTTCCATCCTGTGAAATATCCCTTCAACCAGGAGGTTAAAACCACAGAAGAAAATGGGAAATCTCACATTTAACATGGAGTTTGCATTCTTGACAGAGCTGTGGAGAGAAGGCCCCCATTACCCCGTTACTACACACAGTGTACATTTTCAGCATCAATGAAACAAAATAAGTGCAATGACTTTCAAAAATTATTTACTGGTCAGATGTTAATGTGTGCTCTTTGTGATTCCAGGTGTGTTTTGGTTTATTCAACACAGCTTAATCAGAATAATAGTAAACTAATTTCAGCTGAGGGGTGTGGTGGGAGGAAGACAGTAGCACAGGGACTGACCAATTAAGCAACCTTAATTCTAGCCAGTATTTTTTTGTTGTTGTTGTTATTTTAATATAATTTCTAACTATATCCTGTTCAAAATTTTATCTTTCTTTCAGTTCTGTTCTGAAATAGATTTTATATATTCTAGGTAAACGCTACAACAATTGATGGAGTGACACCTTTATTTAACGCATGTTCAAGAGGCAGTGCGGCATGTGCTGAGCTCCTGTTAGAGTATGGTGCCAAAGCTCAGTGGGAGTCCTGCCTTCCATCACCGATGCATGAAGCAGCCAGCAGAGGTAAGGAATTACCTGCTGAATAAATGTGGAGCAGTTGACAAATGTCTCAATGCCATTGTTAAGAAATGTGTCTTGTTTTGTCTATGAGACAGCTTACTGAAGTTGAGCAAACTCTGTCATGCTTTGTACTGACAGGTCACAGTGAATGTCTGGAGGTACTGATATCCTCTGGTATAGATGTTGACCAAGACCTTCCTCATTTAGGAACACCTCTGTATGTAGCCTGTGTTTCACAGCAGATCCATTGTATTCGAAAGCTTCTTTATGCAGGTATGTAATGTTTTAAATAGTATTACTAGTTTGTGAAATAAGCCTTTGAAGTAAGCTGTGCTCCATCAGTGAAACTAGAACCCTTGCTTGCAGGGCTGTACTATGAAGTTTATTCTGTGCTGCATGTTTGCTTACGATAAGTTACTGGGTCTTTCATCATTTTTGTGGCATAACAAGCATATTAAGGAAAAAGGAAGTATGACCAATAAGAACAGATGTTCTAGTAGATGCAAATTTTTAGCATCTACTACTGACAGCTTTGTAGGTGTTCATTTTCTGTAGGAAAAACAAAGGTTAAAAATTGGCTTTTGAGAAAACAAGTTTTTACAGTAATGTTTGAGCTTTCAGCAGAACTTTTTTTAGCAATGTAGTCCCACCATTTTTCATTTTTCAGCATGTTCTAATAGATCTTTTTACAAGGCATAGAGACCTAAGGCATTTGATCCCGAAGTTCACATTATTTATTTAATCAATGGGGAAGAGATGTTGGAGGCTCACTCTATTTCAGCACAAGTCCAGGAATACAACTAGCATAGCTAAAGGATCATCTGCTGTGTTTCAGGTAACGACACAAAAGGCTTTTGTGTCCTGCAGCACAATGTGTGAAAATGTATATGTGAATAATTACAGACTTGCCATCATTGCATTGGAATTGTTTTCCTAGTTAACTGCAGGTTATTTAAAACTTAAGCAAGCAGTTAAATTGTCTCACATTAAGTCATTTTTGTGTCATAAAGTCTCCTTTATGTGATTAACTGTCCTGTGTCATGATTTTTATATTTAAGAGCCACAGAGGTATAATTAGTGTATTTGGGATTCAAATACTACCATACATTAAAAACAGTAACAGAAGGACATATTCTACACTCATTGGTAGCCTGAATTAGAAAAGAGTATGTAAATTGCAATATAAGTAAACCACTTACGTGAGTCTGAATTTTTTCTCATTTCATCAATTTGTAAGGATGTATTGGAAGTTGAAAAGCAAATAGACAGTGAAATAGGCAAGAGAATAATACAGTGGAGTTGTTTCCAAATTGTTAATACTGAGAACAGTGGGTTATTCAGACTTCAATTCTAATTGCCTGTCCTGTGATATTATTATTTTACCCAAATAGGAATTAAAAAGGCAAAAAGTATTGATTAAGGGAGAAAAGTTGGTACAGAAGCCAATATTTGGTCTCAGAAGATTAGTAAATCTCTCTTAAGGAGTCTGGGTTTTTCTTCTAGAGTAGTCTTAGAAAGCTGTTCAGCCAACCTCAATTTTAGGTGATTATCATCTTGCCTATAAAGGAAATCCTTTCATACTGGCTAGTTTTATTTAACTCTTCTATGGACAATTTTTTCTGGAATATGAGTGCATTACTGCAAAATAATGTAGTCCATTTTAATTTAATATAAGTTACCAATTCCTTATTAATATAAAAGTGTAATAATTGCAATTTTGTGGATTAGGAGAATGAATGGTTTGGGTTTTTTTTCACTATTGGCTTTCTTGACTTAATTAAAATTAAGTTCTTTATAGAAAAATCCTTGATAATGGTTGAATGAGATGAGAATCTATTGCAAACCCTTTGCCAACTTCAACACATGAAAAACTGTAAAGCATCCATGTTACACTCCTTACTGAGTTGGTGTACTTACAAAAATATAAATACTACAGTTTAGTGATCATTTTTGTAGACTTAAATAAGGAAAGTGTATTTTTATGTAGTGCAAATATTCTTAAACATGTACAAAATGTACTTTTTTTATAATTAGGGCAACAATGATGCTCACATGACCTAATCTGATTTTTGTTTTCCTTTTATTTTTGTGAAGTATTTTCCTTTGAAACCTGGTTGTGCTTAAGTAATATAAAACCTAGGATAAGTGTACGGGTTCAAAACAATCCACTGATATGATTAGCTACATTGCTATGTAACAAAATTAATGAGGTGGCTAACTTCACTGTGAGGTTCTAGCACAGTGGGTGGTTTTTTTTGTTTGTTTTGTAATATCATCTTTACTCAATGACAATTGTAATTAATCTCTTCTTACATCTCCTTATGTGCATCTGCCCACCAGGTGCCAATGTGCAGAAAGGAAAGCACTTGGAAACCCCACTCCATGCTGCTGCCCAGCATTCTAGTACAGAGATTGTAAACTTACTCCTTGAATTTGGGGCAGACATAAATGCCAAAAATACAGATTTTGAGAGGCCTGTCGATTTAGCTGCTCCAAGCAGTTTAGTGGAGAGAGTGCTTCTCCTCCATGAAGGTAAGATTGACATGTGTCTTTTGTATTCTTAAAAACAATCCCCTCCCCCCACCACAGAAAAAAACACCAACAGCCCAAACAGCCCATGTTACAGAAGCTAATGCTGCGCTTCATGAAATAATCAAGTAAATTCCATTCTGACTATGAAAATACCCAGTAATATTTAGTCTCTGGACAGAGACTGTTGACCAAGCAGCACCCAAACTTTTACAAGCCAGAAAAGCATCTTCTTATGTTTACTAGGTGATACATTAAAGCTATATTTTTATTGGCTGTTAGAGACCTTTTCTTGTTAAAAAGAAAATTTCCATTTCAGATGAAAAATATATTTAGTCTTGACCAGCTATCCCAATAATTTTAAAAAGGTATTTTTAAATGCATGTAAAGCAGTTTATTTTGATAGTAGGCAAAAAGTTTCATTTTCTACATTTTCTTTGCTGTTTTATTAATACGTGAAAAGTAGTTGCTGGCACTTCAGAGTCCTTCAATACTCTTGAGGCCTGTTGCCTTAGAGAGAATATCCCAAAGGGAACTGTATTTGTTCAGACTGACCTATGTGCAGCATAAAAATAAGTTAAAAGGTGGGATATAAGCAGAGGAACTATTGCAGTAACTGTGGACATGTCTTTAGAGGTAGCACTGATTAATGATTTTCTCCAGTCTGAATGCTGTTAAAAAGGAAAAAAGCTCTAAAAACATTTGGTTATCAGAAAATTATCAAGGTCAGGAGGATTTTTAAAAGCCACAGCAAACATGTTAGAAGTGAAAATGAGGTGACATGGAATGCATGTGGGTTTATTTCCCAGGGAAACACAGCAATGTGTTCATCTTGAGGGAGTGGGGGCTTAGAGGGACAAAGGTGTGATCATGAGCTAGTAAGTGCAATAAACATGGTCCAGGATCTTGGGGCATTTTCCCTACTTATGTGTGTTGCTATGATGTGTTGGCTGTGCAGCTGTAGTGCTGTAGCAATTATTTCACCTGCCGTATGAATAAAAAATATAAAAAATACAATTTCCAAAGTTGCTGACATGTTAACATATTTTCTGGGAACAGGTTTTTAATTTAAAAACACAGATTTGCTGACCTGACTGCTTTTTTTGAGTGTTTGTCTGATTATAAATAAGGCTTCGGCAGTCCCAGTATTTATCTTTGAAGGCAAAAATGCCATGAAGAAAAAGGACAAATTTGCAAAATGTGGACTTTTTTTTAGAAATCCCATTATTGTGCAAGACTGTTGTAAAACAAGTACTGGCCTTCACACCTGTATGATTATATCCTGTCTTTTTTGCTTGCAGCCACACCATCTTCTCTTTGTCAGCTCTGCCGATTATGTATCCGAAACTACATAGGAAGAGCTAGACTGCATCTTGTCCCGCAACTCCAGTTGCCAACCATACTGAAGAATTTCTTACAGTACAGATAACAGAGTAACTAACCTTTATGAACATGAATAACAAGTACTTCTTTCTGTTTATTGTATGTTTTACCTAAAAAACTGCTGGGCAGAAAAATGCCTTTTACATATTACTTAAAAAAATGTGTCTTTGACAGCTGGTGTTGGTATAAAATAATTGGGAACCATTCAGCAACTGGTACCAAGGTGCTATTAAGGCTGAATTGAATAAGTGTGCTCATACTGGGGGGGGGGGGGAATGATTGTATAGCTTTAGCTTAACACTTACTAAATAGCTTTAGTGCTGTTAATTTTAATTGTATTTACACTTCTAAGATCTGTTTGACACATCTGAAACATTAAGAGTTTCTTCATTATTATATGTTAAGTCTGTCCAGTTGGAGTCATTATTTTATCTGTTTTTAAATTTCCATTGTTTGTGTACCTAAAAATACTTGATGACAGGTGCACTATATATGCATTGTTAAAAATAATAATAAAAAAAGTTAATTTTTTTCTTTTTCTTTATATAGAAAATTCATTAATGAATGACAGAGAGTGAGAAACTTCCTTTATTTCCTCCTGACTGTGCTGTGAATTGGAATTATGCTGCTGTGAACATAACCAGAGTTTTTTCAGCCACACACTCTTTTGTGGTGGGGTGACCCTGGCTGGATGCCAGTATCCCACGAAAGAAGAGAATATATAATGAAAGGCTCATGGCTTGAGATAAGAATAGGGAGAGATCACTCACTAATTGCTGTCACTGTTTATCACCAATGAAATCAGAGTAGGATAATGGGAAATAAAACCAAATCTTAAAATCACCTTCCCCCCACCCCTCTCTTTTTAGGATTAAATTCATTCTAATTTTCAATACCTCTCCCCCATTAGTCCTCCACAAAATTCTCCAGTATGAGCCCTTCCCACAGGCTTTAGTTCTTCGTGAACAGTATGGGTCTATTTCACAGGGTGCCTCCTTCAGGAACAGGCTGCTCCAGCGTGGCTTCCCCACAGGGTCACAAGCCCTGGCAACAAACCTGCTCCAGCCTCTGCTCCTCTCTCCATGGGCCTACAGGTCCTACCGGGAGCCTGCTCCAGCATGGGCTTTCCATGGGGTCACAGCTTCCTTTAGCCATCTCCATGCTCCAGTGTGGGCTCCCCCGTGCTGCACATGAATATCTGTTCCTCTGTTAACCTTCATGGGCTGCAGGGGACAGCCTGCCTAACCACCGGCTGCACATACCCTTGCATGGTGACAATTGCCAGTTGTGTCAAAAAAGGTGGCACGACTACTCCAGCTAAATGCAGTACTCCTTTCTGTAGGCTTTTCATTTGGCCTTTGAGAACAGATTACTTCCTCAGTGACTGATACTCAATTCCTGCAAACCAAAGCATGAGATGCTTGAAAATTTATCACTTGTCCTTTGTGATTCACCCTCTTCCATTCCTTTTCAGTGACTCAGTATTTATGTTCCTACTGGAAAGATGCTATGTGAGGAACTAACTATAGAGGAAGTTTCCACAAAGAAGAATGCTAACTTAGTTGCTAAATTATATCCACCTAATAAAATGTAGCTCTCTGACACTTGCCCTCATTAAAAGTAATCTTCATTTGTTTCTGTTCTTTGCAAATACTCTATTGAGGGCATTTTCTAGACTCCCTGTAAAAGACAGGCAGATGCAAGTAAGAGGAACTGCTTAGGAGTCCATATTGTACATACTCTGGAGCAAGTTGGGTGGTTTTGGTTTTCAGCCAGAAGCTAATAATTTGTGGTTTTATGTACAATACCAGTGCCATGTATTACTTCATGAAACACCAAAGTGCCAAGCCAACTATGGCACTGTTGACCTTTTCTATGTAGAATGAGATCATTTGACCCTCACCTTCCTTCAGGTGTGGCGTAGCACTTCTCAAGTTTGAGTTGGGAAAAACTCAGAAAACAAAGCTCTCCCGTGTTCTCTACAGTAAGATTAGTTTTCAGCAAGCAAGGCTGCTCTGCAAAGCACGTGTTCCAAACAAAACTAGATGGTGTTAGAAGTTTTGCTGAGTCACATCAGAGTCCAAGCCATCTCATCACAAATGGGTGTGTTCATGCTCTCATGGCATCTGCAATGTCTGTTCCCACCATTTCCACTGATCCTTGCCACCATCCAGAGAGCAAACAAGACCATCTTGAGAGTCCACAGGCATGTGGCACTACTTTCTCAATTACACAGAACAGTAGGCTAGCTTGACGAGTAACCCAGAACTAGTTTACAGGAATATTATGACCTCAATCTCAGGCAACATGTAGCTGTCAACATAATGTTTAATCTGTGTTTACCAGATAATGATGTGAAAATAGAGTCACTTTGGCAAGCTGAGCCAAGCCCCATAGGGCATCACTTCTGTTACATAGTAACAGGAACAAACAAAATCTTGAATGGATGTTGTCCCTGTGCAGGACTATGTACTGGAACGGGTCTCCCGCAGATCGGACAGCTAATGTTGCATACCAAAGATACATAGGAACAAAATACCTGACACAAGTGTTCATCTGGTAACATTCTTTCCCCAAACCAATCCCTTTAGCCAGAAATGAAAGCAAGGAAACAGGCTTGTTAGTATTCTCACAGAGGTAAAGAAGAAGGGCATTCTGATGGGGCTCTTAATGCTGAATTGTTAGTATGAAATAAATGTTAAGTAACATATTAAAATATTAGGAACTAGGATCTGAAACAAACATTGAACCATGTCTGAGCACTGTTAATGACTACTACAGCACAAAGGAGCTTTCTTTACTAGCTGGAGTACCTCTTATTACATGAACTGTTTAATAGATACAAGTAAATAATAAAATAATAAATAAAAAATAGCAAGTATTTATTTTCAGAAAAATTAACGTAGCACAAGACCTCAGTTCTCAAGAAACCCAACTGTGACATGCTGTGGGTGTACGACAAGCACCCCAGGGACACACAAAAACGTTACCGCTCTCAGTGGCTCAGGAAACAGACGGAATATCATTTGCCGTGTGCTTGCCGCCCCTGCCCGCCCGCGGGCCCTGAGGGAGGGTACGGGAGGGGAGAGCAGCTCCGTCCGGTCCCACCAGCCCGCATAGCTACCACCAGCAGCGCCCGCGCCGCCCAGTCCCCTGCCTCGCCGCGGCCGATGCCGGGAGGCGGTGAGGGGCTCCCCGCAGGCCGCAGCGGGTACCTGGGGTGGCAGACGCTGCCGCGCTACGGCCCCAGACACAGCGCGGAGGGGAGCGGAGCTCGGCAGCTGCTCCCGTGCGTTCACGGTCAAATTTGGTTTCCCGTTACGAGTCTCTCACACGAGCGCAGCCTGTGAAGCTTATAAACATGTCGGTAATGTTCGTCAGAAAATGGATTGGATTTTGTACCGATAAAGCAATGTTAAACTTAACTGAGATTTAATAGTAAATTGAAAGCACTAGCTGCAGAGCTTGATCGTCTTCATTCAAACAGAAATATGACTTTTACAAGAAGAGTCAAACAACCGTTTGAAGACAAAGAATTCTTTAATGTTAAGGGGAAATAACTATTTGACTAGCTGTGTGCGACAATGGAGTCACATGTTGAACAACCTGAACTTATTTTTGAAGATGAAGAATCTATATTTTGACAGTTGCAAACACAGTTGTAGCAGTAGACACAATTACAACCTTTTCTGCATGTTGCCCTCACTCACTACATGGGGTACCACCACCTTAAAGAAAACGCAGCCTTATTTTAGTCACAACCTGATGGATTCCCAATGCAAAAAAGTGCCTTTTGACTTAAGATTTGTATTTCACACATGAAAGCATTCTTAACCCTCACTGTCTAATTTAAAGATGGAGTACATTTGTCTAAGGTTCCACGTTAAGGCACAATTTATGCACAACAAATTGATGCAGTTATACTACGTAATTTAAACTGTTAAAAATCTGCTGCTAAAAATCCTTAGGATGCAGCAAAATATTTTGAATATAGTAGAGTGGCAGCTGAGTCAATCCTTCAGATCCCAATCATCAGCCATGGGGCTGCATTTGTGGCTCTTACCATTGCTCTCCAAGTCTGTATTAACAATTTCTGCATACAAGGTTGTACAATTTATGTGCTAAAAGATAACTAGTCTTTCATTCGACAGAAGCAACACATCAGATACTGCCTGCTGGAAAATTATTTCAAAAACTATGAATTTTTATTTCAGAAATCAAACTTTCATTCCCCAACTTCCCAGTGTTAATGAAAGGAAAACATTTTCCAAACAACACCTGCAAGAAGTAAAACATTCTGTTCCAGCATCCAAGCATATACAGAAATGTTTTTGTATAGGTTGCAAAACAACTAAGCTTGTTTTGCCCTGCCCAGTATGTTCAGAAACCAGAAACCAGAAATAATAGCCTAGGACATCAACAGAATGAATTCTTAACTTTTTTTTTTAAGGGGGGGGGGGGGGGAAATCAAAATGATTTTTTAAATTTCTAATCTCCTTTCCACCTTTCCAGCATGGTGGCATTGTTATATCCAGTTAAATGAGGGCATTACTTACCTATATATTGAAGATTTTGTTCAATACGGCCTGCAAAAGGAGACCATTACTTCCAGCTTTACCACAGTTTCTCTAGAAATGGTTCTGCCAGTTTTCAATTTCTACTTCTTTCAATTTTATGTATCTAGCAGGATTTCAAAAATTATTTTAAAGCAGCAAAAAATCTAACAACAGACAAAGCAGATTTCTGCTTATGTGCCATCAATTAAGCTAAGAAAGAATAGTATAACCAAGGCATCTTTTCTACAGGCAATTCTGATTATAAGATGTAATAATAAGAATAATTATTAATAAGAATAAGATTTGTCTTATGATTAAATTCCATACTACACACAGCTTTAAAATTTAAATATTCTTAGTATTCTATTGCCAAAATTTTCTTTCCTTTTGAGCAGAGCTTTAATAAATAAAAATATATGCAGACGTATATTCTTCTGGTCTTTCACACTATATGTATAACTAATATAAAATGTAAAAAGAAAACAGGTATTTTTAATGTATATAACATTTAAATAATTTCAATACATTTGCTCTTTGTTCCTTACAAACCCTTTGTTTAAAAAAAATAAATAAAATTTAGAAATAGATTTTATCTTCCCATGAAAGTATAAGGGGGACAGTTGCAAAAATGAACTTGCTAGAAAATAGAGTTTTATAATCTAGGTAGTCAAACCTGTCAAAAGAAAACATTATTAAACATCTTTATACTCTTATTAAAGCACAATAACTAAGGGATGAAAAAATTATCTGTTATAGAATCCTGTGTGCAAAACCTAGTTTAAATTAAAAAGGAGAACACCATGTATGAAACAGCCACAGGATTCCAGTTAGTTTAAAAACAGGTTGCAGTTCCCAACAATAAAGTCATTCTATTATGTACTTGAAATTATGTATTTGAAAGTGAGTTTATGGATATCACAGTTTGTTACCAATATTTTGATAACATGCTGATAGTTGCTTCCTTTCTTTACAAGGCTTCTGTTTACACAGAGCAGGCTGAAATATGTCTGTACTGTCTGACAACAACATTCTTACTTAAAAAAAAGACATGGCTGTCTATGTAGTTAGTTCTTTCTTTGGATTCTTAAATAACTTTTTCTTTGGATTATCAACAAACTTTTGTATAGAAACCCTTATTCTCATTTTACAATTGTCAAAGTACAAGTAATTTCCCTTCCAGAGGAGTCAACAGCCATGTTTCTGTCCTTTGACAAGGATGAAATAATTATTAACCCTCAGGGTGGTATTTTAAGCACTACAAAGTACAGAGGAAAACACCTCATCAAAATGGGTTAAGTCGTACTCCTGTTCCTAGTGGTGAAAAAGGATTCACTTTGGCCCACATCAAAGCATCATTCAGTGAAATAGCAGATTTGCCATCTTCAAGGAAAAACACCGGACCCTGCACAGCAAAAATATTTGGGGAGGGAAATTAAAATAAAGTATGCATGAATTGTGTAAAGGCTACCACAACAGCAAGCACATTTTGTTTTACCTGAGAAGAACATGAAAACCTGATTTACAGCTATCATCTACATTCATGGAAAAAATTGTACCCCACCAACTTAAAGCTTTGGCAATAGTTACACATTATAAACCCAGTGAACTTGTTATATTTCAAATTTGGAGACCCAACATTTCATAACCCTTAAGTTTTCAGTTTGTTTTTTAATAATTGTGGTATTTCATATGTTTGGCAATTATTCCAGAGTTAAATTTAGCCTGAATTAGAAACTGAGGTAACACCTTTTTTTTTTTTTCCCTTCAAAATACTGTACATATTTTATTGTGTCTGTCATTATCTGTACTGATCTGTGTGTTTACCCATATGTCAAAAAAAAAAAAAAAAAGCCTCCATGAATTGCTTGAAAGCACGAAGTCTATGGAATAATTTCAAATGTTCACTATGAAAAGGACAAAATATGGAAGAGCTATTTGGTAGTTTCTTCATTCAACAATATATGGTCTCAAAGCTGCAATTCCATTTAAGTGCCTTCTTAAATAGTTATGTTCTCTGAACTCGCTACATAAAATTAGTAAACCTACTCAATTAGGCTACTATACCTTTGTATTAGCGAAGAGATTTGTGAGCTGATCTGCATGTCTAAAGCAATGGCTCCTAATGGTCACTAATCCAGAAATAAGGATATTGTAGATGACAAGTTGATGACACCATATTTGCTATTCTTGTTGATTTGATTATGACAATGGCAGCTTTATGTGGCTCTTAGCAAATGCTGAGAGTATAGCATAGCCAGAGACCACTGGTCTAATGTGGAAGTGTAGGCAGCAAGCGTTTTTTTAGACTTGATGGTGTGCAGTTGTGAATCTTGTTTACCTCAAAAATCCCTCTAGCATTCTGCAATCTCCAATTTCTGATGCAGAACTATCCCTCTTAATCCCTGAGCAACCCTGTTACTCTTTGAGCTGGCATCTTGTACTGGGCAGAGGAAATATGCTCAGCCTCAGGTCAGACAGTAAATTCGTACTGAGGCACTGTCTGGAGATAGGAGCCTGAAAGCAGTATTTTCAGGCTGTGTCAATTTTCCCCTTATGGAAATGACAACATATACCAAAGAGGTATTAGAAGGACTAGTATGATTTGATCATAAAGCCCTATGTGAGTGATGAATAAATATATTTGAATATTTAGTCTAATATCTGGCTTTAATTAATCGTGAATTACAAGTTTCACAGTGTGCATTTCTATAATGATAAATACCAACAAAAGAATGATGTTAGTATGTGGTTGAAGATACATAATTTCCTGCGTTTTTATTCAAGCTGTGGTGGGGCAGTAGGCAATAAGCTAAATGCACTTTAGACAGAACATTTGGCAAAGGAAATCTGTCTTTCTCAGGGAAATTAAAAAGTTTTGCATTGGGAAACTGGGCAATTATTTGATTGGACAATTCTTTATGCAGCCTTTCTTCTATAGCAGGTGCTAGCACTTGTCCTCTTTAACTTCTGCTACTGTGACAACAGGGAAAACATTTTTCTCCCAGATGACAGAAGAGACCTTAGATTTATGGCAAGCTCACAACTGGTCAATGATATCACTGAGAAAGAACACCTCAGCTCTCTGAAACCATACCTGTATCCTTAGCCCTGTCAAACAAGAGATGTGAACATCTGAATGACTAGGAAGATTTGATCCAGTGACGCAGTCCGGCCCAACCATTCCTTTCAGAGGCTCCTCTTGTATTCGTGATACAAGTATAGAATATACCATTCTCTGCGATTCAGATGGTGGGGTGCATGGCAATTCACTGGTAGGCCTATGAACAAGAGACACTTGTTTTTCAACTATACATCTTAGTTTGTGTTAGAAATTAACAGCCACAAAGTACTATTTTTTTTACATTCATATTCAGATTTTAAAAAGGAAATAAACACTGCATTTACAACTTAACAGTTAAATACTAGTAGTCTCATTGCTGGTAATTTTATATTTTTCCACCTACTTGTTTAACTGAGTACAAGCTCTCCATGCATCTAGTTCCTCAGAAAGCTGTTCAATTTTCAAAGGTACAGATACTTCCCGTCTTTTCAAAAGCTGACTAAAAAAGAATGCAAGTAATTAAAGTCTAAATTAATTCTAACAACAAACATTTTCTTAGAAGAAAACCAAGATAGACAGTAGTAATATAAAACTATTGTTTACTGGATATAGAAATAAATTTATGAAAATAAATTGATCCTTCACAATAATCACTATATTAAACCTTAGAAACATTAAATTACTAGATATAAAAGTATACATTTTAATTTAAGTTTGTTTTTAATAATCCCTATTTACACCTTATTTAAGCTTATCTTTAATTAGCTCTGTTTTTTTTTTCTTTGAGGCCATTCTTATTTTAAGGTTATATGCATTCTTATTTCTTAGTAATGACAACTTTACTAAAATTAAGGACCCATTTTGCCTATCTATAGCAGATATGATAAAAATACAGCTAGAGAACCACGGTTCCACACATGCTCTGAGAGAGCCTTGTTTCACCTGATTACTGTGGAAAACAGTTTCAAAATCCCTGCAGTGAACAGTTATTATCTGACCTAATTCAGCAAATTTGCATTTGTGTTGGGATGCCTTAAAAATGTCCAGCTTAGCATGCAAGTGTCCAGTAAGTTTAAGATGGGATGGAATCTAAAAATCTATGAATCCTGAAAACATTGGGCAATGTGAGGAAAAAAAATAGAGCAGTACTGTTCTGAGAAAAACTTATAGCTGACAGCCAAAGTATCACTTGCATTTTATGTTGCTGCTTTCCATAAATATGATGGCTCAGAAAAGCAAAAAAAGTAAACAGACTTTTTCCTTTTCCCTGTCCTCTCATCAAGTTTCAGAGATGTGTATGGCTAAAAGGAAAGGAGTGCTGCCAAGACATCTGATGGAGAGGAGTCAAAGAAAAGGGGCAAACACATGGTTTTAAGACATGATAAATTTATATTAATTATCCTTGTTGGGCAATTCTAATAAAATAGCATGAGATGTAGAAAAGGTCACAATTCTATTAAGGTGTGAAAGGACTGGACAACATATATGCAAAATTTATTACAGATGAAGAGATAAATGAGTGAAATTGTCAACAAAACTACAGTGGTTCGACAGAGCAGCCAGTGGAGCCATAACAGCAAGAACAGTGCCAACACAGCTTGCGCTATAAAAGCGGGGACATCTTGGAGCTCGCCTTGCTATCCAGCAAGTCAGGCAACAAAAGCAAGAGGATCTGACAGTCCCAAACTGTGAGGGAGAAATAGAAGTTAGTCAGCTGGAGATTAGCATTGTTACCAAACCAGACAGGAAGACTAAGCAATCCTGGTTATACTCTGAGGAAGAAATACTGAAGTATTGTATATAAGCCTATTGTATTTACCAGATAAGATAAAGATTATTGATTTTAATCTTTCTCCTTCTGAGTGTGGTCAGCTCAAGTCAAGTGTATCGAGTGAAATCAAGTGGGTCAGATTGAGTAGGGTCAAGTGGATTGTGCCAAACCAGACCTGCCTGGGTCAAGCCAAGTGGGCCAAGTCGGATCACATCAAGTGGATTGGGTAAAATCAAGCCAAGTCCATTTATATCAAGTAGGTAAGATCAAGTCAACTGGGTCAGGATGAGCTGGTTCAAGTCAGCCAAATCTAGTCAGGTAGGCCTACATAGGTGACTGGCTGGGGATGAGCTGGGCCAAGAGGGCAGGACCAGGACAGGTCAAGTATATTAATACCTGAGAGTATTAGCTCACTGAGTAACAGAAAGTCAGATCAGGTTTCTTGGTGGGAATCAAGCTAGTACACAGTCATGAACTCTAAATTCAAAGCCTGTCCTTGCTGCCACCAAGGAAGTCTTGGTCTACACATAGATACAAAATTAGAACTGTTACCATCAACATATACTCGTGCATGGAGCTAATGCTGAATACTCAT